AAGAGAAAAGAGCTGGATATACTCATTAGGGATAGAATAATGTCCACATCTCATTAACTCTCATGCAAACATAAGCCCAACCCCAGAAAGTTCATGAGGTTAAAACTACTTCTCAGAGTCAGACAAGGACAGTGGGTTTCTATGGAAATATACAGTTTAAAGGGAAACTTTTGGAGTGGGTCTGAGAAGCTCCTGCTAACATCTCACTGATGCCATAGCCCCAGTCCCAAGGATTAGATCCCCTCAGAATGAAGGTCCTGAAACACACACCTGGGGAGGGCTGCAAATCATCAAATATTTATATATGTTCAGAAGGCTGATGGTGAGTGTTAGATGAGAGATTAAGTGTGAAAGAGATTGATAAACTGTAATGTTTCCTACGCATATATGTGCCTTTGTGTGATTCATATATTATGGACTGTGTCAATACTTTGCAAATTAGGAGAAAGGGGGGAACTCGCATGCGCTGACCGTGTAATGAACCTGTAGAGTCCAGCCCCAGATTTCTGAGTGAAATAGCATGTGTTTGCATGCATGTACATGTCTGTATGCACACGTATCTGTGCATGGGTGTGCATACACATGTGTGTGGGTATGTGTGTGAATCTTTGACCCTTTGGAAGTAGTCACCACTCTTTATACAGTGACTGGCTGCCTCTAAGGAGTGTAACAGAGGAATGAAAACACAGGCCGTGGTGTCAGTCATCCTGGCTCTATAACTTACTAGCTCTGTGGCCTTGGTCACATTATTTGATTAGAGTGGTACAGTTTTTGCCTTCCTGGAGCTTAAAGTCTGTGGATAGGGCTGCTCTGAGGAGTTGGGAGGTTACATCCACTGTACCCTCACACCAAGAAAGTGCTTAGGATAGGGAGAGTCTTTCTCCCTTAATTAATGGCATTTTTTTCCCCAGAGTTTAGGGAATGTTGTCTTAACCTGTTGGATGAAAGGAACCTCTGGAGGTATCTTTGGTTCCATAAGACCATGCCACTGAAGACCCAGGTACCTCAGTGCCTAGAGAGACTGTGGCAAAACGCACACTCTAGTGCTATTGAAAGGGCTAATTCCAGAGGTGTTCCCACACCTTGGCCATTCCTCTGAGGCTATTCCCTCAGTCTGAGCCATAGGGCTGGCAATTACTAAATTCAGAAGAATTGGAAACTGTTATCACTTAAGACATAGAACAATATTTTTGTTTTCTAATTTAGAAATTAAATATAGCTAATATCCTGGCCTTTGTTCTCCAGACACTGGCTGACTATAGATACAGAGGTGCTGATCCAGGCCAATGTTGCTGTGGATGCCATAGGCTGGAAATGCGCCTTTCTGGGCTATTCAGACCCAGGGAAGACTGCATAATTGTGTGTCACAGGGTGTTTCAAGCTGTAGGTCGTAGTCTGGTAACAGGTCATGAAATTAATTTGGTGGCTCAAGATCAGCATTTATTAAAGTAAAAACAGAGTAACCTAGTAACCATGGAGTAGGTAAAGATATGATACGTTTGCGCCCTATATACTCAATAAAGGTCTCATAGCCAAATATATATAAGAAGAAACTCCTGTAAATTAGTAAGAAAAGACAGACAACCTAATAGAAAAATGGGCAAAAGACTCAGATACTTCATAAAAGAAGATGTCCAAATGGCAAAAAAAAAAAGCACATAACATTATTACTCTTCAGGGAATGACAAAACCACAGTGAAATACTATTATGTACCCATCAGAATGGCTAAAACGAAAAATAGAGACTATCTAGAGCCGGCAAAGATGTGAAACTACTGGAACACACACATTGCTAGTTGAAATGTAATTGGTTTGATGACATTGGAAAACTGTTTGGCAATATCGACTAAAGCTGAACATATACATACCTGCACTTTCACTCCTTGGTATATACCCCTGAGATATGCACACAGACATCCACCAAAACACATGGCAATCAGCCCTGGAATGGATAAAGTGTAGCATATTCACATAGTGGAATATTCCACACGGCAATATTGGTGAACCTCAGATGCATGAAGTTGAAAAAAAGAAGCAGGCACAAAGAAACTTTATGACTGCACTTTAAAAAAGTGCAAAACCAGGTAAAACTACTCGGTGTTATCAGAGTCTGGATGGTGGTTGCCCCTGAAGGAGGGGTTGGTAAATGGAAAGAAGTGAAAAGGGACTCTCTAGTCACATTCTGCCTTTTGGTTCAGAGGCAGGAGGGCACGTTAAATGGATATTGTCAATTGGTAGAAATGTATCAAGCTATTCATTTATGATATGCACCCTCTACTGTACTTAGGTCATACTTCAGTAAAAGTTTATCAAATGAATGTAACAGAGGAGAAAATATAGCAGGTCATAAAGGTAAGCATCATTAAGGAAACTTCAGTTACATGTCCCTCTAAATATGTGTGTATAGACGAAGTTGAGGTATGAAATACATTTCTTCTTTAAATTTTTTTTAATTTTTAATTTTTATGGGTTCATAGTAGGTGTACGTATTTATGGGGTACATGAGATATTTTGATACAGGCATACAATGCATACTAATCATATCAGGATAAATGGGGTATCTGTCACCTCAAGTATTTGCCATTTACTTGTATTATAAGTACTGAAATTATACTGTTTTAGTTATATTTAAATGTACATTAATTATTGTTGTCTATAATAACCTGTTGTGCAATCAAATACTAAATCTTATTCATTCTTTCTCACTATATTTTTGTAGCTATTAGCCATCCCCACTTCCTTACCCTCACTACCCTTCCCAGCCTCTGGTAACCATCCTTATATTCTCTATCACCATGAGTTCAATTGTTTTAACTTTTAGTTCACACATATGAATGAGTACATGCAAAATTTGTTTTTCTGTGCCTGGCGTATCTCACTTGCCATAATATCCTTCAGTTCCGTCCATATTGTTGCAAATGACAGCATCTCATTGTTTTTTATGACTGAATAGTACTCCATTATGTATATGTTCCATATTTTCTTTATCCATCTGTTGATGGACACATAGACTGCTTTTAAACCTTGACTATTGTAAGTAATGCCATAGTAAACATGGGAGTGCAGATATCACTTCAATATACTGATTTTCTTTATTTGGGTATATACGTATTAATAGAATTGCTGGATCATATGGTAGTTTTATTATTAGTTTTTTTTAGGACCTCCAAACTGTTCTCCACAGTGGCTGTACTAATTTTCATTCCCACTAACAGTGTATGAGTGTTTCCTTTTCTCCACATCCTTGCCAGCATTCATTATTGCCTGCTTTTTGAATAAAAGCCATTTTAACTGGGATGAAATGATGTCTCACCTAGTTTTGATTTACTTTTCTCTGATAATCAATGATGTTGAGCACTTTTTCATCTACCTGTTTGCCATCTGTATTCTTCTTTTGACATTCTTCTATTTTCAGGTCTTTTGCTCATTTTAAATCAAATTTTAAGATTTTCTTTGCTGAGTTGTTTAGGTCCTTCTATATTCTGATTATTAATGTCTTTTCAGATGGATAGTTGGC